AGCCGTATTCCACTCCCATATTCCCCCGCTTCTGCGGAGAGGGGAGAGAGGAGAGAAAAAGAGAGAGAGAGAGAGAGAGAGAGAGAAGGAGACAGATGTGAAGAGGGGGAGAGAGAGAAGGGGAGGAGAGAGAGAGGAAAAGGAGAGAGAAGGGGGAGAGAGAAAGAGAGACAGAGAACAAAGATAGGGAGAAAGAACAGAGAGGGGGGTGTCCCTAGAGAGGAGAGAATATTGAGGAGAGAGTGACCAACAGTGTCAGAGGCTGCAGAGAGCTTAGAGAGAATGAGGATGGAGAAGAAGCTGTGCCCGGGAAGTCTAGCCCGTCTACTGAGACAGCCTGTTCTCTCTCCAGCTCTAGATGTGCAAGTTCCAATCCCAGCCCTGCCTTTTTCTGTGGGGGGGACCTTGGGCAAGTCCCTTCAGCTGTCTAGGCCTCAGTTTCCTCATCTGTAAAACGAGGGTTTAGAGTGGATAGCCGCTGACAGCAGTGACAGCCTTTCCTATGATGCCGTAAGGTTTGCAGAGTGCTGTAGAGAAACTAACTCATCTGATAAAGAGCATTTATTGTCTCTCAGGTCCTTCCAACTCTGGGTCGCTATGGATCTATTTACTTTTGTCCTTTCTCTTCCATTAGAGTATAAGCTTTTGAGTCTAATCATTAGGATATTTCTGCTTTCGTCAAGCCTAAATTTGCCTTGTCACGTGCGCCACCCATCGTTCCACCCTCAAGGGCCACAGGAGGGCCCTACATATGCTTGAAGACAGTGGTCACATCCTCCATTTTGTTCTCTAACCCAAACCCCTCCCTCCTTCCTTTCCTTTTCTCCCTCCTTCTCTTGTCTTTCCTTCCATTCTCCTTCTTTCCTCCCTCCCTGTCTCCCTCCCTCTCTCCTTCCTTCCTTCCTCCCTTCTTTCCTTCCTTCCTTCCCTCCCTCCTGCCCTTTCTCCCTTCTTTCTTTCCTTTTCTTAAGTTAAATTTGGTTTTTTCCAGTTAGTAGAAATATTTTTTCTCTCCCTTCTACCCTCTTTTTCCCACTGAAAAAACAAACCAACCAAAGAAAATAAACCAAACTTTTGTAACAGTTATGCATGGTCAGGCAAAACCAACTCCCACACTGGCTGTTCCACAGACAGACCATCTCATTCTGCGTCTTGCGTCTGTCCCTGCTGTGGCTGGCCAGTTCTTTCAGTGATGCTTTTATGCTGCAGTCTGGTCCTTGGCCGTCCCTGCTGAGCTCTTCTGGATGGGCGTCACGGGTGTAAGTGCCCTTCCCAAGTGGAACAGGACATTCCTTACCCTAATGTTCTGTGGGGGCAGGCTTGTGGGGGAAGAGGGAGACAGCAGTCGGTCAGCAAACATTTGTTAAGTGCCTCCTAGGTACCAGGTACTGTGTTAAGTGCTGCACATATATACAGAACGAATTAAAAATAAATACAGGTTAATTAAACAAGAGTCGTTAGGGATGGGGGTCCTTTTGTTTGCCCCATCCATTTCAGTTACTCTCTGGATCCCACTGAATTAAGAGGAAGAATCTGCTTACTCCTTGCTTCCTTCTGTCCCTCCCAAGCCCTCCTGACAGCTTCCATCATAGCCCCAAATTACCTTGTATATGCTTTGTATATTCCTATATAGGTACATACTGTCTCCATTGATAGAACATAAGCTGTAGGAGGGCAGGGCCGGTTTCATTTTGATCTTTGTAAGTCCAGGGCCTAGTGCCATTCCCAGAACATGGTAGGTGCCTAATAAGTGCGTATTACATGATTGATGGAGCTCTGGGTACCACGTGGTTTTCACTTTGGTATTCCGAGTGTTCTGCTCATAGTAGCCCCTAATCAGGGTTTGATGCATTGACATTTTGTGGATTCTTCCTTCCTTCACAGCGTTTCTTCCTGCCTTCCCTCCTTCCCTTTATTTACTGCTGTTTCTGCCATCATCTGCATCCCCCTACACCTGGATACCTGTACTTGCCTCCCTTCTACCAGGCTGAGTCACCGATTTTCTAGATTTATATTCTTAAATTTTAATAAATTGTTAGTTAATTAATATAGAAACATTATTAACTAATAAATGTTAATTACCATTCCTACTGTGATTATGTCCTTGCCCTGCTCAGCAGCTTTTAGTAGCTTCTTGTTTGCCTGTAAGACAAAGTCCAGAATCCTTGGCCTGGCATTCAAGGCCCTCCTTGCTTTCCTTCTTGAGCCTTATTCTTCTTTGCTTTTCCATGAGACTGCTCTTCCAGCCAAACCAGTTCATTCAGTTCTCTCCATGGAATGTACCCAGAGCTTTCCCTCAGCTGCTTCCTTGGCCCTAGGATGTCGTGATGACCTTGGCGAGTCTCTCTGCCTCCCAGAAGCCCACCCCCATCCTGCAGGGCCGGACTCAGGCCCCTCGGGCCTCTAACGCTTCCCCTTGAACATCTTGGCTGGAGGCAGTGGCTGGGCCGTTCATAGCCACGGATTAGAGCATCCTGGGTAAGAGATCATGGGAAACTTAGAGGCAATTGAGTGCAACTCCTTCATTTGTAGATGAGGAAACTGAGGCACAGAGAGGCTAAGGGAGTGTAAAGTTAGGGGTAGGGTCTTCATAGTTCTGAGTCCACTGGGCTCTTCACCACATCATGCTGTCATAATGCATGATTCTTTGCCATCTTTCTGTTTTGAGACATTATGAATGAATGACAGAGCGTTTATTTTTTAATTTAATTTTTTAAACATTTCTTTTTTCCCCTTTTCTTTTTTTCCCTTTGGAGGCAGTTGGAGTTAAGTGACTTGCCCAGGGTCACACAGCTAGTATCTGAGGCCAGATTTGAATCCAGATCCTTCTGACCCTAGGGCTGGTGCCCTATCCACTGTACCGACTTCATTTTTAAATTTTGACTTCCAAATTCCCTCCCTTCAGCCCCTCTCACAGCTATTGAGAAGCTAGCAGTGTGATACCTATTATACGTATGTGTTATTCTTCTTGTTCCATTGTTTTAGTAGCACCCAACTCTTTGTGACCCCGTTTGGGGTTTTCTTGGCGAAGATACTGGACTGGTTTTCCATCTCCTTCTTCAGCTCATTTCATAGATAAAGAAACTGAAGCAAACAGAGGCTAAGTAACTTACTATAGAGTAAATAACAGACTGACTTTTAAAAGTTTATTAATGTCTTTATTTTTATATCCTTTTCATTACCCACTCTCTTCTCCTCCATTCTGAGAGCTGTTCCTATAATGCAGAATAAAAAGCAGCTCAACAAATCTGAGCACCACGTCCCTTCAGTCTGACAGCATGTGCAGTTTCCTGTATCCTTAGTTACAGGCTATTCCACCTAGAACTGTAAGAGATCTTAGAGGCCATATGGTTTGACTTGATTTTTACATGTGAGGCCCAGGTTGATGAGGGGACTTCCCCCAAGGTCATGCAGATGTTAAGCAGCAAAGGTGAGATTTGAATCCAGGTCCTCTGACTTCAGAGCTCGTCCAGGTACTTTTCATGGCCTCACCTGCAAAGGAGGAGATGTGCGTTCCAGTAACTCTTCTTTGGTGCCCAGCCTGGGCATTCTGGTTACACAGCCTTCGGTTCCTGTGTTTGCTATCGCTGCTATTATAATTCTTTCTGTTTACCTTGTTGTAGTCATTGTGTATGCATCTTGTTTCCTGTTCTGTTCATTTTGCATCAGTTCATATAAGTCTTCCCACCCTTCCCTGTATTCTCTATTCATCATTTCTTTTTTTTAAATATAAAACAAAATAAAAAACCCCAAATGTCATTTACACAGTAGAACGTAGGAGAGGATTCAAAATATATAGCAATAACTTTTCATTTCAAGAACGCCTGTATGTGAAGTACTGTGCATTATGTTGAAAGCTGTCCGTCTTGTCTTTGCTTTCTTGTAGGTTTTCTTTTATTCTCTGCTGTACACTTTTTACTTTGTTCTTCTTTCCCCCTCCCTCCCCTTTACCCACCACCCCAGGGCTGCAATTGAGCATTCGATATATTTATATATAGGTATTGATATATACATGTACATACCTGCACACATATGTATAAACACATACTTTCCCTAAGAAATTCTACTCCTAATCTTTGTTTTTATGTTTATATCGCTCTCTTATTTTCCTGTCTCTCCTGACACTTCTGCTTTACTTCTGCCTGCTACCTTACCCTGCTATTACTTAACTTACCCTCACTCTAGCAATCGCTCCCTTATCCTCCCATTCCCCTAAGTCTAAACCCCCTTCTATGTCCCCCTTTTTACCTACTCCCACACCCTCCCCTCTGTTCGTCATTTCTTGCAGCATTAAGATGAGATATACTATTACTTGCCACAATTTAACAGGCCACTTTTGAGAAGGAGTGATGAAATGCCTGGTTAGGAACTTAGTGTCACAGAGCTGGAACTCGAAGGGACATCTAGGTCAACCCCCTTGTTTTATTGACCAGGCAAATGAGAGTTTTCTGCTCTTTCTTTGTTCAGCTCCAGATTGCTTGGAAAGGACTCAAAAAATAATAGCTAGGAGCTGGGCAGCTAGCTGGTACAGTAGATAGAGTGCTGGGCCTGGAGTGAGGAAGCCCTGAGTTCACATCTGGCCTTAGATGCTTCCTAGCTGCGTGACCCTGGGCAGGTCCCTTAACCTTGTTTGCCTCAGTTTCCTCATCTGTAAAATGAGGTGGAGAAGGAAATGGAAACTATTTCAGCATCTTTGCCAAGAAAACCCCAAATGGGGTCGTGGAGGGTTGGACCCAACTGAAAACAACTAAACAACAATAGCATTTGTATAGCGTTTTATAAAGGCTTTTAAGTATAAGGTACCTGCCAAGCACTTTACGAATATGACTTCATTTTATAGAGGTAGTTTTACAGATGAAAAAAGTGAGGTTAAGTCAGAGAGATGATAAAGGTAGCAAGTGTCTAAGGCCAGACTTGAACTCATAGCTTCCTGACTGTAGATGCAACGCTCAGTGGGCTCTACCTCCAGGAGTGTGAAACGTGTCGGTTGCTTTTGACAGGGCAGAGAAGCTGCAGCTGCTGAATCACAGACCCATGACTGCTGTGGAGATCCAGCTGGTGAGTGAGCCCAAGCCGCTGGGGCTTCAGGGGAGGAGTGGGAAGGAGCAGAGGCTGAAGCCGCTTCCCAGAGAGGGCAGAGGCAACCTGTTGTCTTTAAGGGCATCTTTCCTTCAAGGGCTGTCTTGTGGAAAGGGGGTGAGACTTGCTCCTGCTTGGCCCCAGAGGTGGGACTGGGGAGTGGGCTGGGGCTTAGAGACAGAGTGAGGCCCACCGTGGGAGCTCTCTAGGTCCCTGCTCCCGGGAGGTTTTCAGACAAAGGCTGGCCGACGCTTCTTGTCACTTAGTTCGTAGACGTTCAGGTCCAGGTTGCTCCAACCCATAGATTCTTTGTCTCTGCCTGAGCTTGGGATCTATCAGATCCACCGGAGGCTGAGAATGAGCCAGAGACGGTAGGAGCTAGGATCATAGGGTCACCAATTTAGAAGTCATCTAAGCCCTCTTCATTTTACCAAGGAGGCCACTGAGGCCCGTGAGGGTGAAATAAATTACACAGGTAGTAATAATAATAATAGCTAATGGTTCGCATTTATTCATATAGCGCTTTAAGGTTGGCAAAACACTTTACAGTATTTTCTCATTTGACCCTCACAACAATCCTGTGAGATTGGATCTGTTATTACCCTCAGTTTGCAGGTGAGGAAACTGAGGCTGAGAGAGGAAATTTGCTAGTAAACAAGCATCTCAAACAGGATTTGAATTGAGGTCTTCCTGACCTCAAAGCCAGTGTTCTTTGTCCTGTACCAACTGTTTGGAGAGAACTGGGATTAGAACTCAGGTCTTCTTATTTTAAATCTTTCCACTGTACCAGACTGCCTAGATTTGTCCTGATGGGGTCATTTTTTAAGGATGTTAAGAAGCAGCTGGTTCGTTGACTGGCTTTTTAGAAAGCCACATTGACTTGGCATGCCGATGGGCCTTGGGGACCAGCAAAGCCGGTGGCCTCTTTCCATGCACTGATGGGGGAAGGGAGGTCCCATTGTGGTTGCCAATAAACTGTGTCGTCACTGGAGTGTCTGCTGATGAGGTCCAGAGATGTAAGTTCTAACGCCATTTGTATCAAGACACCGTAACGACCTCCTTGGGCTCTGCAGGATATAATTCTTAATGAAGTCAAAATGACTGGCTGTTTTCAGGTCAGCAGTCCCCTGCGTTGGCCATCAGAAACTTTGTTTGGAAAGACAATAAAGCAAAAAAAAAAAAAAGAAAAAGAAAAAAGCAGATTTTGGAGATAAATGTACAGTAATCGACTCTGCTCTCTGGGTCTGGGTCTTTTCTGTTCCAAATTGCCTTGAGATAATAAATGTGCCTTCACTGAAATTGAGAAAAGTGTTCAAGAAAAAAGGACACAGAGAACCTAAAATGCCTGGCCTATAGATGCCTTAGAATTGGGTGTTTAAGGGGAAAAGGGGTGGGGAATGGGGATAGATACTGGACCTGTTATTTCATTGGTATAAGGAACTCCCAGGTGAGGAAACGCCCTCTACCAATGCAGGTCAGCACCCTTTCTGCCTCGGGTCAGACAGTCAAAGGGCGGACTTCCTGGCCTCAAGGCTGGCTCTCTACTGACCACACCATAGTGCTTCTTTTTTAGTAGGGGAGGGGAAGAGGCAATAAATTTTTTAAAGGACCATGTAGGATATCGTTTTTAAATGTTGCTGAAACTGCTCAGCAGCTGCATGGGTAAAGAGCTGGCCTTGGAGTCAGAAAGACCTGGGTTCAGGTGCTGCCTCTGGCATTAACTGGTTATGGGAACTTAGGTAAGTTAGTAGTGGAAAGAGCACTGACTCTTGAGTGTTGCACCTTGGGCCGAGCTAGAATGGACCTTAGGAGTCATTAAGATGAAGAAACAAAAGCCCATAGAGGTCAACTGACTTGTCCAGGGTCACTCAGCCAGCTATCCCCTGTGGTAGGATTTGAACCAAGGTCATCCTGACTCCAGGTCTCACATGCCACCTAGTCTCCCACCACCTCTCCTTCACGGGCCTAGAAAAAACTCCTAAAGGTTTAATTTTTGTTTCTGTGTTGACAGAAAAGCTTCTGTTATTTCCTGAAACTATTTTGGCCCTTTTTAAACAGACAGAAAAGTTAAATTAGAATGCCAGTCTCCCCCAGGTGTGGCAGAGATTTTGCCCCTCCCCCACTTTCCCCAAGAAAGCAGCTGCTGTTTTTTACCTGTTTGACCTCAAAGACTCTGAGCTTCAGAGGGCTTAAGCTTGAAAAAATCAGCCCCCGAAAACAAAACACCACGAGACCATGACTCTTGTCCCACTGGGTGACAGGTCCCAGGCTGCGTCTCCGTCTCTTCCGCCAGCGTTAACCAGCACCATGTGCTGTTCCTGGCTCAGGGACGTGAGGGGATGGCAGGGAGGAGGGGGAGGGGAGAAGAGGAAAGGGGGGAGGAGAGGAGGGAGAGGGGGAGGGCCTGTGCTTGGAACTTGGACCACTGTGTGATGGTAACTTGAAAGGAGTACAGCGGCATCCTCATCCTGGCCTGATCTCTGAGATTCTTCCCCTCCCTAACATGTTCTCTACCTCTGCCCTCCTCAGAGAGATCCTTCCTTCCTTCCTTCCTTCCTTCCTTCCTTCCTTCCTTCCCTCCCTTCTTTCTTTCCTTCTTTCTTTTTCTTTCTTTCTTTCTTTCTTTTTCTTTCTTTCTTTCTTTCTTTCCTTCCTTCCTTCCTTCCTTCCTTCCTTCCTTCTTTCTTTTTCTTTCTTTCCTTCTTTCCTTCTTTCTTTCTTTCCTTCTTTCCTTCTTTCCTTCCTTTCTTTTTCTTTCTTTCTTTCCTTCTTTCCTTCTTTCCTTCCTTCTTTCTTTCTTTCCTTCCTTCTTTCCTTCTCTTTCTTTCTTTCCTTTTCTTCTTTCCTTCTTTCCTTCTTTCTTTCTTTCCTTCCTGTCTATGGCATTCTTTTCCTTTCTCAAGATTTTCTCCCTCTAAGATTCTCTCCATCTGTGATTCTTTCACTTCTCTCCCTCTCCTCCCTTCCTTCCTTCCTCTCCCCCACCCCTCATGAGAGCTTCTCTCTCCTTTCTCCTCTCCTCCTCTTGCAGAAGCTCTCCCTTGCACCGGGGTAGTAACATCTCCAGGACCTCTCTAGTACTTTCTGGGGCAGCAGTACAAGTGCTTAAGGATCATCACCTACCCCTAGAAGAGAGGTTAATTAATTTCATCCTGGGCAGCCAGATGGTACAGTGCATAGAGTGCTGGGCCTGGAGGCAGGAAGGATCTGAGTTCAAATCTGGCCTCAGTCACTTACTAGCTGTGTGACCCTGGGTAAGTCACCTCATCCTGCTTGCCTCAGCTTCCTCTTCTGTAAAATGAGCTGGAGAAGGAAATGGCAAATTTCTCCAGTGTCTTTGCCAAGAAAACCCCAAATGGGGTCGTGGATCTCATGCTGTGAAAGTGGAAAATGGAAGGGGGCTGAGGCTTTCCACGTGGCCATCTTTCGACTGTCCCTTTCCCCAGCACCAGGAAGCGTTCTCACTGGTCGCAGCCGGCTGGCCTCTCCTCGTTGCCCTTCTCTTACTGGCACTCCCACCCTTCTCATGTGTACATTTTCTCTGTGGTTTTATGTGTCTGGTTATCTTCTTTCCTCCAGGTAGAACATAAGCTTTCTGGAGGCAGGGGCTGTAACCCTTTGTACTCCCACGGACCCCCTGGGTGCCTGGGGGAAGAGCACGGACTTTGGAGTCAGGACCTGAGCTACTCTCTTTCCTTCCTCCACCATTTATCATCTCTGTGCCCTTGGACTTAATCTCTCTGCTTAAGTGAGGTGGTCATCTCTAAAGAAGAGGGGTGGAACTAAAGGGTGTCTGGGATTCCTTCCAGCCCTGAGGCGGAGATCTTGTGAATTGCTGAATTTAAGGGAGAGTCTGTATCTTTTGGACCCTGGAATTGTAGTCATTCCCATTCTGCTCCAGTTATATAACCAGGATCAATGTCAGGACTTAAGGTTTTAATAATATAATAACTTTTTTTCTTCATATTTTTCTTGTTGAAATGATTTGCCAAAGTCCTCACTCTGTGTAGGAAGGAAGGAAACAGGCATTGATTAAGCTCTTACTGTGTACCAGGCACATGCTAGGTGCTTTAGAAGTATTACTACCTCTTTGATCCTCACATCAGCCCTACTAAGGCAGGTGCTGTTGTTTTCCCCATTTTACAGTTGAGGAAGCTAAATCAGATAGAGGTTCAGTGATTTACCTGGGGTCATACAGCTAACAAATGTCCAAAGCTGGATTCGAACTCAGGTTTTCTGACTCCAGGCCCAGCGCTCCATCCACTGTGCCACCTCGGGTTAGGAGGGGCCTCTGAGCTCATTTGCTTACAGGCTCATAGATCTGGAACTGGAAGGGACTCTGGAAGTCATCTGATCCAACTCCTTCATTTTACAGATGAGGAAACTGAGGCAAACAGAGTTAAGTGACTTGCCCAGGGTCACACAGCTAGTAAAGGTCTAAGGCCGGATCTAAATCAGGTCTTCCTGACTATAAGCACTGTGCTTTACACATATTATTCCATTTGATATCATTTATAGCACAATAAAACTAGAATTAGAAGGGGCTTCAGGGGGTAGCTACCTGCCTTGAAGTCAGGAGGACCTGAGTTCAAATCCGACTTCAGACCAAACACTTGACACTTTACTAGCTGTGTGACCCTGGGCAAGTCACTTAACCCCAATTGCCTAAGGGAAAAAAAATTAAAATTAAAAAAAGGGGGCAGCTAGGTGGCACAGTGAATAGAGCGCCGGCCCTGAAGTCAGGAGGACCTGAGTTCAAATCCGGCCTCAGACTGAACACTTGTCACTTACTAGCTGTGTGACCCTGGGCAAGTCACTTAACCCTAACTGCCTAAAAAAATAAAATAAAATAAAAATAAAAGAAGGGGCTTCTATTCCAGCACCTTCATTTTACAGATGGAGAAACTGAGGCCCAGGGAATTCAGGTGACTTGCCCAAAGACACATAGATAATGTTTTGAACCCAGGTTCTCTGAGTCCAAATCCAGTGTTCTGTCCCCTGATTTGAAACACTTCATTTCCTGTTAAAGTTTTATTAACTTTCCTTCCGGGGCATTTGCTGGTGCAAACAAGGATGGGCTGGAGCGTGCCCAAATGCACTCTGAAGAGCTGATTATTAAATTTTATGTGTTAGCACACATACCGTGGAAATCAGCGAACGGTACAAAACGGGGCGAGTTTGGTTTTTTTGTTTGTTTGTTTGTTTTTTGTTGATTGTCTCTACTTAAGAACGTCATGGAGAAAGTGCTGAGAGTGAAGATTAAACTTCAGAGTGTGTTGTGGGTACATTTTTTTCCTCTACAGAGCTGGTTTACCAGCACACCCCTGAGTACAGGTGTCCCCCCGATAGTGCCCCAGACTTAGAGTTAAAAAGACCTGGTTTAGAATCCTGACTCGCAGACTTGCTGCCTCCTGTGACCCCGGGCAGGATGTTTAACCCCTCTGAGCCTCAGTTTCCTCATCTGTAAAGTGGGATTAGGTATCCTCTGAGGTCCCTTCCAGCGCTGATTCTGTGACATCATCTTCATCGTCATCATCTTTCCCGCTCCTTCCCCCTCCCTCATCTCTCCCCCTCTCTTTCCCTTTTCGGGGATTTCTGTTTGTTGGGTTTCAAGATAATGGGCTAATGCTGCTGCTCTTTTTCAATGCCCAGGCGTGTTGTGAGGATCCCATAAGACAGCATTAGTAAGGCACTTAGCCCGATGCTCGGCACATAGTAGGTGCTTAATAAATGGTTATTCCCTTCTTCCACCAGATGCCAAGGCTGAGACTGTTGTTCCCTAGGTGGGGGTGCTGTGGGATTCTGCTCCGGGGGCCCTGCCTCCCCCCCCAGGGCTGGATGGGGGCCCCTTGGCACTGACTTGGGCCTGGCACTCACAGCTGGTCCTCCGTTGGGGCATCCTTTCTGTTAGCGGGGATTACCACCCCTCCCGTTGATGGAGCCTCTGCTTTGCTTGGCTGTTCTCTGTTGTTCTTTTTGTTTTTGGTGAGGCAGTCGGGGTTAAGTGACTTGCCCAGGGTCACACAGCTAGTAAGCGTCAAATGTCTGGGGCCGGATTTGAACTCAGGGCCTCCTGACTCCGAGGCTGGAGCCACCTAGCTGCCCCTTGTTTTCCGTTATTCCTGAAGTGGTTCTGGAGGAAGATGGCCTTGGCTGATGCCTCTCCCAGTCTCATTTTTGCCGGAAGTCTCCTCCCCTTTCCCCAGTGCCTTCCCCTCTCCTGCAGCCCAGGAGAGCATTTGATTCCTTTGGCTCCTACCTCCCTGTTGACTCCTGTTGAGCTTGTGGTCTGCTAGAACCCTCAGATTTTTTTCAAATGAATCTTGTTTGTTTGTTTCCTTAGCCATCTCTTCCCCACATTGGATCCTATGTCCTTTTCCTGAGATATTTCAATTACAGTTTCTGAGATAAGTGATTTGACACTATGAGGTCACTCCGGACAGGAGAGTATACTTTTTTAAAAAATTGTAATTTGTGAACGTGTGTGTGTGTTGTGTCTTTGTGTTCTATATTGAGGGACAGACCTGATTTCCGTCGGTCCAGAACAGCTCGGCCCCGTTTTTGTGACGGGAGAGTAGGATGTGTTGTTACTTATTTAAGAAGGCAGGGTGAGAGTGGAGAGAATGAAGAAAAGATGTCTAATTGGTGATTTGGAGGCATGATAAGCCTTGTGCTTTGGGGGCCTCTGTGGGGGCGGCGGAGAGGTCCCCTTTGTGTCTTAGCTCTTAATTCAAGGCCCAGAAGGCCTGACCGCTGTCCCATCTGTCTAGGCCTGGGAGTAGAATGGAATATTATATTAATTCCATTGCATTAATATTAAGGCTATCTAAGAGAGCGTGCAGTAGAGTGCCTGCTCCTTGAGGGCAGGGACTGGGAGCAGCACCTAGTGCAGGGCTTTGCATACAGAAAGAGCTTAATAAGTGTTTGTGAATTGAATGGAAATGAAAGGAATTGATGTCATCTCTTGTACCATACAGTTGGGCAGGAAGGGGACTCTGAACTCAAAATCGTTGGCTCATAGGTTTAGAGCTGGGAGGGATCCCGGAGGCTAGCTGGGCGGGGCTGCCTTGCTTTACAGATGGGGAAACTGAGGCATAGAGTGGTTAAGTGACTTGTTGAGGGTCACACAGGTAGTCTGTGTCAGAGGCAGGATTTGAATGCAAGTCTTCTGACTTCAGAGCATCCTTGTTGGTCCAGCCCACTCTGGGAAGGATTCACCAAACTTCGAGACAGTTGGGCACCCGTTCTCATCATAAGCATCTTCATGGAGGGCATTCCACAGCTTGCTTTATTTAAACAAATCTTTAAAAATTAAAAGCGTCTTCTTTATTATCTATTCTGAATGCAGAGTTTGGCAGCTTTCCCCCTCTTCTCTGGCCCCCTGTCCTCATGTAGCACTTTGCCCCGGTCTCACATCTCTTCTCTTTTCTTTATAAAATCTCATGGAAATGGGAAACATCTGGTCCCCATCCCCAGCATCCTAATCCTCTCCTAAGCCATGAAGACAGCTATTACACTTTCCTTTCCCTAGGTCAAATGGCCCAAACCCAGCCTTCCCCTTGCCCTGCTCCTGCTGGCGTGGGGCAGGGCTGGGGGCACACGGCACATGTGGCTCTTTTGCGGAGCAGGGCTTTGCTTGGGCATCTGGTCAATGAAACAGATTCCTCTTGGAGCGTTTGGCAAAGAGATCACATTCTTTGGGCCATTTGATCTTTTGAAAGGGATCTTTGGTGGGATTTTTTTCCCCCCAAAGCATGATGGGAGGCCACTGTGTTCTCCCTGACCCTGCCCAGGAAAGCCTGGGATGGTTCTCGCATGGCATGGGAGCTGTTCCCTGCTGGAGTTGCAGCTCTTGTTGTCTGACCTTGGGGACACGGCTTTCTTTGTGAGCCTTTGCTATCCTAACCTGTAGAGGGGCCAGATTGGGCAGCCTCCTGAGGCCTTTCCAGCTCGAGGCTATTAAACCCAATATACTTCTGCCCTTTCTGATCCCTATCTGCCAAGATTTCCGTTTACATTGTGGGTCTGAGTGCATTCTCTTTTCCCCTATAAACCTTCTCCTCTTCTGAACCTTCCTGCTTCTGGCAGGGGCACCTGGACGGCCAACCTTGGCATCCTCCTCTGCTCCCCACATGCCCTCCCCTGGCTCTCCGCACCATCCCTCCGTCTGCCCCCTTCTCTCCACCAGGCCCATCTCAGCTCTCTCCCAGACCATAGCAGCGGCCTCCCCGTGGGCCTCCCTGCCTCCAGTCTCTCCCCACTCCGGTCCGTCCTCCACATTAAATTTTGGTGGTTTTCTTGTGTCTCATTTTTTATCTCATATTTCTAGTATTCTTTCTAATTCTTTATTTTTATGTGCACCAGTTTTATAAGCTACCCAGTCATTAGTATAGGGGCCATATAGTAGTTTGAATAGCCTTAAGCTGCCCTAAGACTTTGGGGACCTCCTGTACAATTTATAAATAAGTAAGCTCGCACGTTTCGGGGGCAGGCGTGGATCTTTTGGTTGACGGGGATGTACCATCTAACAAACTTTGGACATGATTGTTCTAAAGTAAAATACAGATTCCTCGGCCGGGCCCTCGAAGCCCTTTCCGGCCTAGGTCCTGACTGCCCTGCCCCCATTCCCATCTACTCAGATACAGTATTCTCTCCCCCTCCTCAGTGCCCTCCCTTGTGACACAGAACTTTAAAAAAAAAGAGAGAAGGGTCTTACTCCATGTCGTGGCTGCTGTGGTTGTACCGATTCTGGCGTCTTTGCTTTAGAGATGGAGGGGACTTCAGAAGCGTCTTCATTTTATGGATCACCGAGACCCCCAGAGGGTAAGTGACCCACCCAGGGCCACACGGCTTAGAAGTGGCTGGGGCTGCATTGGAACCCAAGCCTTCCTGCCCTTTGAGAGGCTTAATGTGCTTGGATTCAGGAGGACCTGGGTTCCAATCCTGCCCCAGCCACTTGGACAGGCCGTTTAAACCCCTCTGAGTCTCAGTTTTCTCATCCGTAAAATGAGAGGGCCGGACCGAGCGCCCTCTGAGTTGCGTTGCGACCCCCTTCCTCCGTGCCTTTCCCTAGCCGCTGGTCCGCGGTGCCTCTGTTCCTTTTTAACAGGCTGATGGGTTTTCTCCCCTGCAGATGGTGGAGGAAAGTGAAGAAAGGCTCACGGAAGAACAGATCGAGGACCTCCTGCAGACTGTCACCAGCATCCTCCCCGGGGACCCTGAGGCCGAGCAGAAGCCCGAGTGACCATGAGCCCCAGGGCTGGGCTCCGCGTCGGCCAGGCGTTGGCTTTTGTGGAAACCCCCTCCCCTGGTGGTGAGGGCGGCCTGCTGAGAAGGGAGGGGTGCGGAGGGGACCGCCAGTGGGGGCCGGCTGGGAGCCAAGCCATCAGCCCCTTCTTTCTTCCTCGTCCCAGCCCCAGCTGTGAGCGTGTCCCTTGCTCAGCCGGCAGGGCCCTGCTGTCCTAAGCGCTTTCATATGTCTCTCCCCACAAAGGGCCTTCTCTCCAGCTCCCCTTCCAAGCGCCGAGGATGGGGGAGCCTGATTTCTCTGGGCTGTTCGGGCGGCTTGTATTGTTATTCTGTTGGAAAACCATAAAGCAGGAAAAGAAGAAACGCATAATTAAAAAAACCACACATTTTTCCCAGTGTACCATTTGAATGAATTTAGCCAGCCTTTTCTTAAATTCATTTTATTAATAATGCCTCTTGTCTCAAGATTGGAGTCCTTCAGTGGAGACAGCTGTAGCTTAGTGGTTAATTCAAAGGCCTGGGTTCTGGTCCCGTCTCTGACTCATGCTGATTGTCTGACCCCAGGCACGTATGTAGCCTCTCACTGCCATAGGCTACTCTCTCAGACTGTAAATTGCATTGGTATAGAGGGATTCCTTGTATCAGTGAAATCTCCAATCTAATCTTTCAACTTATTTTTTGGAGCTCTGCCATCCAAGGTGGAACCCTTTCTTTTCTGGTTGTTGTTTTTTTTTTTTTTTGGTTAAATTTTATCCAATTAACAAGCATACATTTTCTCTGCCACCCCCCGCCCCCAAATCTTTGTAACATATGCAAAACAGCTTCCCACACTGGCCGTGTGTCCAAAAATGTGCCTCATTCTGCATATTGAGGCTGTCATCTCTCTGGAAGGGGTGGGTAGCGTTCTTCGTCATTAGCCTGAACCTTCTCTTTTTACAACAAAACCCAATTAAGTAGAAACGGCCGGATGTGGTGACTACATGTGTCAGTGAATTGTAGGAAACCTTTATCTAGAGAGGAACCGGGAGGGGAGGATCCCACCAATGGCCCCTCCTGTTCCTGGGCCTGATTGAAAATCCCTAGCTTACCTGTCCCACCCCAAGGCTAGACACCTATGGATCATAGATTTGGAGTCAGAAAGTCCGCAGAGATCATCCAGTCTGGCCCCTTCATGTTAAGGCCCAGAGAGGCAAAATCACCGGCCCCGGGCCAGAGAAAAGTAAGAAGAGGAGAGCTGGGATTTGAACCCAGGGTCTTTAACTCAGAGCCATTTTTTTCCTCTGCTTCTCCAGCCGGCAAATTAAAGGTAAAAAGATGGCTTTCTGCTTAAGAGCCAGACACTCGAGTCGTAGAAATGAGGGCTGGGAAGGGCCATAAAGCTCCTCTGGTTCAGGCTTGGCCCCAAAGAAGAGAGAAAATGCATCTCCCTCCATCCTTGGCAGAGGTGGGGGCCTGTGGGTGTGGATCACTGCATATACTGTCAGACTTGGTTTGTGTAGCTTTGTAAACTCCTTTTTTTCTTTTTTCACTTTTTTTTTTTTATGAGTAATGGCTTGCTGGATTGGTGGGGTCGGGTGGGGAAGAAGTTGAGAAATTTAGAATGGAAGATTATGTAAAAGACAAAGATAGAAATAAAAGGTTTTTTAAAAAATCCAGTCCTACTTCATTTTAATTGTAATTTATTGATCTAGTTTAATTGACACCTCCTTTTGCTTTTATACCACAGTCATAGGACCCTGACACCCCCAGCCTGGCTCCAAACACTTCCCTTGTCACAAAGAAATTCAGCCACCTCACATGCTGACCACATTATTATGCCACTTTGCATTTTTTTTGGTTGATTAGTTGTGTTTGACTCTTCATGACCCCGTTTGGGGTTTTCTTGGCAAAGATACTGACGTGCTTGCTGTTTCCTTCTTTAGCTCAGTTTTGCAGATGAGGAAACTGAGGCAAACAGGGTAAAGTGATTTGCCCAGGGTCACCCAGCTAGTAAGTCCCTGAGGCTGTATTTGAACTCGGGTCTTCCTGATTCTAGGCTTGGTACTCTATCTACTGCGCCACCTAGCTGCCCTTTACAGATGAAGAGCTGGGATTTGAACCCAGGTCCTTTGGCTTAGTCCAGAACTCTTTCCCTGGTCTTTGAATGTGAACCACCAAATTAGTTCATTATCAAGTGAAAAACTCATTCCTGTTCAGCCTTAGCCACAGGTATTCGGCCTGAGTGAGGATTCTGGGTAGGCGGTTCTTCTCTGCCACAAATGTCAGGGCTATGGTGCTTTCCTTAAAAGGGGTCATTATCATTCCAGATCTGTGCCTATGTTTTTCCGGAAGGTTCTCTTCTTTGAATGCCATCATCCGGAACACTGATGTGGCAGTTACCCAATTAGGTCCCTGTGGGCTGAGCCGTATCGTCCCCTCCCAGGATGAAGCTGAGCCAGCTTACGGTCACCTTGGAAGTGAGCAAAGTATTCATCTGTCGGTTTGTCTGGCACACTGAGTGTTGACCATCAGGCTGTGCATGTATTCCTGTCGGTGATGCTTTCTTTTGAATTAAGGTGTGTGAGGTGATTTCCTGGACGACAGCCCTCTTTACTGCCCAGTCCATTGAACGATAAATCATTCCAGGTGTCTGCTAAGCTCCAGGGAAGCCTTATAACCCTTGAGCAGTTGGCTTTGTGGATATAGAGAAAGAAAGAAAGAAAGAAAGAAATCCAGCGTTAGGGCAGTTAGCAGGTATTTCTAGGAGCCATTATCAGGAATATCATTGTCATCAGTGAGGTCCTAACTGAGCTAGGTTCTGTACTGAATTCATTTACGAAGATCCAGTCATAAGAGTGTACATTTGAGGGTGAGAGAGACCTTAGAAATCAACTAATCCAACCCCTTCCTTTTACAGTTGAGGAAACTGAGGCACTGAGAAAAGAAGTGAGATGCCCAAAGTCACTTAGAACCTGACCATGAGCCATCAAGGGTCTTCTAGATAATGTACTTGGACGCTACAATGAACGTGAACAAGAGAGAGTTTGAGAGTTAATTGTATCCTTGGCACTAAAGCCTGATGTCTGCTTACATTCTTTCATGCCTTTAGCTTTTGTAAATCCAGGTACATTTACCCCGCCTCCCTTCCCCCAGGTCGGGTGGAAAAGAGAGTGTGGCACAGTAGAAAGAAGACTTGTGAGGGGTTAGTATTCCTCCAGCTTCTGTTACCTACTCACTGGAATTACGGCAGATCATCTCTGCTTTCCGGGGGGTCAGTCTCTTCGTTTGTCCGGGGGTAGAGTTGAGTCCATCGGGGAAGTGAAGAGATCAGCAGAGAAACTGACCATGTAAGAAGGCACCAAGACACCACGTCCTTCTCCTCCCTACCGTCCCTTTTTGGTTTAGTAGAATCACAGAGCTTCAGAAGTGGGTTGGCTGAAAAGATGACCGTCTAAGGCAACCTGTATCTGAATAAGAATCCCCTCTTACCATCCTTTTAAAAAAATTAATTTATTTTTGTTACATTTTAAGTTCTGAACTGTCTTCCTCCCTCCCTCCCTCCACTAGAGAAAGCCACCGTTTGACACAGATTTATAAATTATGTAAAACCATCCTATGCATACTTCTGCTTATCATTTCTTTCTCTGGTGGTGGATAGCATCACCTACTTTTTCCATGGTATCTCCGTCCCCATCCTCTCCCAGGGAATCATCCTTTACAATAAAGAATAAAGAGAAAGAAATAGCAAAACTGACATATCGAAAAAGTCTGCTCTTATATTCGGTATTCTGTGTCTGTGTCATCCCTTCCAAAGACGTTGGGGGAGGTAGACTTCTCATGTCTCTTCTTTGGAGCTAAGTTTAGTCTTTATAATTCCACAGCATTAGATTTTTATTGTTTTGTTGTTTTTTCCCATTACCTCGTTTTAGTCGTGTGTGTATATTCTTTTCCTGGTTCCACACGGAAAGGGAGGAAGAGGATTAAGAGACATTCTTAGAACACGTGGTGAAGAGGTTGAACGCCTGCTGAAATACTTCCGGAATGAGCAGATGTCTCTTTGTCGGCAGTAGTAAAGACCGATAACAGATATCCATCCTGTGGGTTTTGTCGAATGTAACTGAAGTGGTTTACTTCTAGATGGAGCCCAAGAAACCCCTGAGGTACAAGAGGAGAGGCCAAGAGCCTTAGGATGGGGACGATCATGTGAACCCATCCAACAGTATGGGAACAAAGATGCCTTGCACATGTGGATGAGTCAGCAGGTTGGTTTGTGGAAGCCACGAGGGTTTTGATGGCAATTCAGGACCAAGTCAATGACACCAGAAATTACAGAAGTGTTATCTGTAGGAGCTCCGACCTAGTGACCAATGCAGATCAAGGAAATGGTGGAGACGGTGCAGCACTTCCCTGTAGCTGGCAAAAACTAAGCACCTGCTGAATACCTATAATTATGTGAGCTGCTAGCTAAAATAATACATTAGAAACTTATCTTTCACAAACAATCTAACAGGTGACAAATCTCTATCGTACAAATAGATCTCAAGATAGAGAATTCAGCCAACAAACTATAAAATACTAAATTTTATCAGGATAGTGGGGCAATTAGGTGGCACAGTGGATAGAATGCAGGGCCCTGGGAGTTAGGAAGACCTGAGTTCAAATCCAACCTCAGACACTAGCTGTGTGACCCTGGGCAAGTCACTTAACCCTTTTTGCCTCAGTTTCCTCATCTGTAAAATGAACTGGAGAAGGAAATGGCAAACCATTTCAGTATCTTTGCCAAGAAAACTCCAAGTGGGGTCATGACTGAACGGTTAAACAGCAAATCAGGATAGTAGCTTCTCCTTAGACGGTTTCTATCAGAATTCCATTTGAAAAAATGAGAATTTTTTTTTTCTGGTTAGTTCAATTGAATGAGCATTTATTGAGTCACTGCCCTATGCGCAGGCCTTAGTATGAAGTACTATGGCAGACACCAGTAGAGCAGAAAATATCATTTCTGCCCTGAAAGATGTTTACAATCCAGTTGTGAAGCACATATATATATAAAGACCCCAAACCACCATACCCCATTTTAGCTCTTGATAATTTAAACTAGGTGAGAACACATCTTGACCAGTCAATCAATCAAAAGACCTTACACCAGCCTTTAAATTAGAATGCTACACAAGAATTATATTCAGTAGACTGATGAAATCTCACCCTGCCCCAGAACCAAAAGATCATCCATAAGTTATCAAGTGAGTTTAGAAAGGAGGGATGTTCCAGAGATTGGAGCATGTGGCTTTCCAATACATTCCTGAGGAGGAACCACCTGGAAAGAAGAGGGGGGAAGGAAAGAGGCCTCTCCTTTGTCCTTAGCCAGGTGTCCTTCCCATCCCTCTTTTTTTTTTTTTTAACATATATCCAGATGTTTATAATTCACAGAAACACTATACATAGTACCACATATGGTACAAAGATTATATGTGTCTGTGTAAACACACACACATTTCTTGTACCTAATTCTTTGCTTGTTGTCTTTTTTTATTAATTTATTTTTAGTTCTCAACAATCACTTCCATAAACATTTGAGTTTAAAAATTTTCTCCCCCTCCCTCCCCACCTTCCTCCCAAAGACGACGTGCAATCTGATAACAGGCTCTACATAAACATTCCTATTAAACATGTTTTCACATTAGCCATGTTGTACAGAAGAATCAGAACCAATAGGAGGAACCACAAGAAAGAAGAAACAAAACAAAACGGAAGAAAAAAAAAAGCAAATAGTATGCTTCAGTCTGCATTCCAACTCCATAGTTTTTTCTCTAGATGTGGATAGCATTTTCCAGCATGAGACTTTTGGAGATGGCTTAGATCCTAAGAAGGGGTTTTCTAAAGCACAGAAATCTCTCTCTCTCTCTCTCTCTCTCTCTCTCTCTCTCTCTCTCTCTGTTTTACACACACACACACACACACACACACACACACACACACACACACGCACACCTCTCCCTACTCCATGAACTCTTTTGCCTTACCTCCAGGATCAAATATAAAATGCTCTGTTTGGCATTCAGAGCCCTTCATTGGGCCCCTTCCCACCTTATACTTCTCTCCCATCCATCTACTGTGCCATCCAACTCTTGCCTTCTTACTGTTGCTCCCACTCTGTCCCTCTCCCGACTGTGTGTCTTTGTACTGACTGTTACCCCTGCTTGGAATGCCCTTCCCCATCCCCTCTGCCTTCTTAGCCTCCTTCAAGATCTATCTCAAATCTCACCTTCTACAAAAGGCCCTTCCAGGTCCTCCACACTCTTAATGCCTTCCCTCTGAGATTACCTCCTTCCGCTTTATATGTATCTTGTATGTACCCAATTATTTGGATGTGGTCTGTCCCATTAGACTGTAGGCCCCTTGAGGGCAAGGACTGTTTGTGCTTTTTCTTCATATCCCCATTGCACTTGACCCCATGTCCTATAAGGTAGGCAGGGTTGGGGGTTATATCTATTTTACAGATGAAAAAACTGAAGGCATGAGAAGTTAGCTAGTTAAATGGTTTATTTATTAGCTAGAAATTAGCTAGTTAAATTTCCTGGCTACTCCATTTTTGCTCCTCTGGAGTACTAAAGCAGATGAGATGGGGGAGAGGGAAGAGTCTTAACCCCGCCTTGAGTCCCCAAAACATGGATGAGACCATGACACAGTTGCCTAACTCAACTTCACCAGGCCTCCCTTCCATGTTGAGGCAGTGGGCCCACGGTAAGAAGCACATGCCAATGGATGTGAACCAAGTGAGTGTGTTTGGAAAAAATGTTTGCTAACAAGCAGTGATGGGAAGGGAAATTGGGAAAATTGATTGGACCACTTCAGTGAGATCCTGGTTGGATGAGGATGGCCGTGGCCTGCTCTCCCACCCCCTCAGCTGGCCCAAACAGCCTGGGCTTGATGGGGAGATCTTGGAAAGGAGGGCTTGGTGCCCCCAGAATCTTCCAGGCAGCTGATGTCTCATTCCCCTGCCGCTGCCGGCCAACTCTTCTCCCTCAATGCTCTCATTGTCTCCTTGAGGCCGAGGCTGTGTTTGAATAGTTCTGGGGCGAGACACTCTGAGTTCCAGCTGCCTTTTTTTGATGTGGATTGGCTGTCATTTGTGAGCTCCTGAGACCAGTCTCTAGGCTAAGTCTGGCTGTAGTATGCTGGGGCTCTGGACCGAGTGGTATGACAAACTCTGTGGGGCATCTCGAAGTGGCTGGAATTCTCATGTTTCCTTCTGGACCCCAGCACCTTTAAGGAATAAAGAGCCTGGTCCTTATTCCCTCTGACTATTCACCATGGTTTAAAGGAAAGTAGTAATGTGTATGGTAGAAACCAAGTCAACCTGGAGAAGATAATGAAGAAATACTTTGTCTTTCTTTGGAGAGGTGGAGGACTGTGGGTTTGGAGTGCTGTATACAGTCACACACTTGGTCTGTTGGTTTTGCTTAACTGTGTTTTTTTTCCTTTTATTACAAATGAAGGAGAAAGGGTATATCCAGAAACAACTGCTGACTTGAAAACAAAAGTCACCAATATAATCTTGAAAAAGCAACAACAAATTAAATCAAGTCCATATGCTGGGCAGGTATTCTATAACCTGATTGAGAGGGAATAATGGAATAGTATCTGGAGATTTGGATAGAGAGGAAAGAAGCTGGATTTGGAGGCAGAAAGCCCCGGTGCCAGTCCTGGCCCCGGCTGTGGGACCTTTGGAAAGTCCCTTCACCCTCGTGAGCTTCATGTGTCAACGAAAGGGAAGATTAGATTAGGAAATCTCTTAAAAGCCTGGCCATCTCCAAATCTCGTGAAACTCGGGACTAGTCATTTCCTCTCTGAAACTATTTACTTAGGGAAGTCATCTGAAGTCTTTGAAAGTCAGTTTCTTTACTAGCAAAATGGGTAACAGAACAGCCAGAACTTCCTGACTTCTGTAGGCCTGGAGAATGAGTTTCTTTTGATTGGCTGCCAATAATCCCAGAAAATTGCTGGTTACTCATCCACTGGTGTTTCAGGCTGGGTGACGGATGAGGTTGTCATCCCCACTGTATAAACCACTTTACAAACCTACAAGTGCTATTGATGTTATTATTACTGTCATCATCACCATCATTATTATTATCAACAATATTGGTTATAACAAATATTGTTAAATACCAGTAATAATACAGTATAAAGTATAATATTAGTAGTAGGATAATATTTAGTACTGTATATACACTGTATATAGTAGAGTATATAGTATATGTACTATATGTAGTAGGGTATATAGTGTATGTACTATATATAATATAGTTTATGGTGTATGTACTATATGTAGTATAGTGTATGTACCATATGTAGTATAGTATATGGTATATGTACCATATGTAGTAGGGTATATAGTGCATGTACTGTATATAATATAGTTTATGGTATATGTACTATATGTAGTATAGTGTATGTACCATATGTAGTATAGTATATGGTATATGTACCATATGTAGTATAGTTCATGGTGTATGTACTATATGTAGTAGAGTATATGGTATATGTACTATATGTAGTAGAGTATATGGTGTATGTACTATATGTAGT